GTTTCATTAAAAAGAATGGCGAACGTAGATACAAGTATCTTGTCTTGGGGAGGGATAAATCTACTTTGTAAAGAATCACTCTGAATCAAACAAAAAATTCTCTGAAACTGACATTATCAAGATGCTTGATTTCTTGATTGACAACATATTTGTTACGTTTGGAGGACGTGTTTTTCAACAGACTGCCGGAATTCCAATGGGAATCAATTGTGCCCCTCTTCTTGCCGACTTGTTTCTTTATTATTATGAGGCTGACTTCATACAAGAACTTCTTAGGAAGAAAGATAAGAAGTTAGCAATATCCTTTAACTTTACGTTCCGCTATATAGATGATGTTCTCTCACTAAATAATACAAAATTTGGTGACTATGTTGAACGAATCTATCCCATCGTACTAGAGATAAAGGATACTACAGATACAGTTAAGTCTTCCTCATATCTTGACTTACATCTAGAAAATGACAATGAGGGTCGGTTGAAAACAAAACTTTACGACAAAAGAGATGATTTCCGCTTCCCAATTGTGAACTTTCCATTTCTATGTAGCAACATTCCAGCAGCGCCTGCATACGGAGTATATATCACCCAATTGATACGATATTCCCGGGCTTGTATTTCCTATCATGATTTCATTGATAGAGGATTGCTGCTCACAAGGAAGCTATTAAACCAAGAGTTCCAAATGGTGAAGTTGAAATCATCCCTTCGTAAATTTTACGGACGCCATCACGAGTTGGTTGACCGTTATGGAATAACCGTTTCACAGATGATATCGGATATGTTCCTTATGTCGTAACTACAATACCCTTCCCTTTTCACTAATGTGACCTACCGAATTAGACTATTTACCGGATTTGTAATAACATAAGCAACACGACGGGTGCCACATGTGAAGCAGGACCTGTTTACCCATCCGGAGCACCTGAGATCACCCCCAGTTTTTGGTGGGGTTCGTGTTGCTTAGTCTTTAGTTTTCTATGTTGTGTCATCTGTACTATTATTTGTCTGTTTGTCTTTTTATTTTTGGCCATGGCGTTGTCATTTTGTTTTCGATCTATGAGTTTGACTGTCCCTCTGGTATCTTTCGTCCCTCTTTTTTCAAATCTTATAAATCGATAAGGGAAATACAAATCAAGGTGAAAAAAAAGAAAAAAGAGAGATAATCGCATGCACCCCAAAAGGAGCGAGACCGGGTTCATCGACAGGTTAAGTATCTCATGTTATGCATGCACCGTCCGCCATGCTAATTAAACGTAATTAAATATAAAGATAATTATCATTTCGTGCTACTCAATTCTAAACATGTCAAGCGCGATAGGACCAAAAGTGACCAAAAAAAAAATTCCAAATTCATCTATGATCAACGTTCCTTAAAGTAGTTGGAATTTAAGTTTATCATGTGTTTCTTAATAAGTTCTTCATTCATCAACAGATACTTCAAGAAAACAGATTGCTTAGACACATTTAATTAACGAAGCACTGACTGCCGAGTTTCTTATACCAGACGGGACTAAAAGAGAGGCGAAAGATAGCAAACTGTATATCTACAATCATAATTCGAAAACGAAAAACAATAAAAAAAAAAAACACCAAACAACTGAATACAAAACACAACAGGAAACTGAAAACTGAGCAACAAGAGCCCCACCAAAAACCGGAGATGAACAGAGGTACTCCTTTTTAGAACCTTTTCGAGTAACGATCTTCATGAGGCTATAGAAAATGTTCTACATAAAGGGTGAGAAAGGGAAATAAAAACAAAGAGAGAACAAATCAACCAATTTCCTCCAAAATATGATAAAAGGCAGTTTAAAATGGAATAGCAAAACTACTTTTATTTACTAAGATTCAATAGATTCATCATCAATTTGAAAAATCAATGAATATATCTTATAAATGTTTGAATGAAACACATACCGTAGCTACTCCCACAACAACACGAAGTACGTATACAAGTATAACAGAGGTTCTTGCAAACACTGGCATCAAAAGTGTTGCCACTCCAGATATTGCCATAGCGGTGCCATAAATACGTTTCCCACCAAATCTATCAGCCAACCATCCTCCAGGTATTTGTGTAAAAACGTAGCCGTAAAAAAATGAAGATAATATTGCAGATCTTGTGTTCTTATCCCAATCAAATTCTCCTCGCTTCAATAAATTATATGTGAATGTTGATATGGTTGCATCTTAAAGCATAGATATTGTATCAACAAATTTACTTTGTTTTATGGTTACCAACAACAGTTGCCTTGGGTATACAATATGTTCTTTTCTTTTGTTGTTTTTTGTTGCTGTCTTATCTTTTTTTGCTTTTCGTTTAATGTTTTATATAGTGTGTACTTGTGTTGTGCTGTTGCACCATTGTCCAAGGTTGGAGGGAGGGTTTGGCGCAATCTAACTAGTTTAATCCTGCCACATATATTTGTGCCTGTCCCAAGTCAGGAGTCTGTCATATTTGTTTTTCATAAATTGCTTTGTTATAAATTATGTCGTTAGTTTTTCCAAATGACTGGTTTCATATATTCCTTTCATAGCCGACTATATGGTATGGAATTTCTCATTGTTGAATTCTGCACGATTGCATATAATCCCTGACATCCAATTCATTCGAACTTAGGTGGATAGTTGTTGGCAATCATACCACATCTCCTCTTATTTTTATACTAGGCAGAAAACTTCACATTGAAAATTACCGATTAATTCAAAATCACCTAGAGGACAGGGCCTCAAAGTGGTCGTCAATCTGATATGTACTGATAGTAATGCAACTTTAAAAAAAATGTCATTGATCTATCACAAGTAGTCCTATCAAACTAACTGCAGCAGAAAACTTAGTTCAACACTTTGCTGGACCTCGTTCAATAACAATTTCACCGTGTGATCGATGTTAGAGTGTAAAAGGTCAATATAAGCAGCTCAAATGCCTTTTGTGTTGATTTCAGTACTATTCATTGTTTCGTCTGGTGTTTTCAATACCATAGAGTGTTGTTTTTTTTTAACCTAAAATGAATTAAATTGCTTTGCTTTGCTGTAAAAGAAAAATGAAAACAACACGTTTTAAATGGCATGCGTCCGAAGCGCTTTTCTGGATTTACCATCAGGAACGCTCAAAGCCGAATATTTGAAAGACAAGGATGTATATGGACCAAAAATGTTGTAGAGCTTTAAACTATCAAGGACATTTTCATGCAAATTGATTGTCCTTTGAAACAACTTACTCAGATGAATCGAGGTTTTAATGGAAGAATGACTAAAATACCTCTTGAGCTTTAGGGCTCGTGACATCTAGTACACCACATGTTTCATCAGTCGTAAAATTGCTCTGTGATGAATTCATTAATGTTGAATTATCAATCGATGTCCTCACCATACAAACAAGTGCAACACTGATGTTTACTCTCAACGCATATACATTGAAGTATCCCGTTAAAAAGAGATATGCCAATATCCATCTTTGCGACAGGAAGGTTGGAACTTTTTCTGAATATCATGTGTAAATGGAGATAAATAAACTACATGTATGTTATTGTGAACAGGAAAAAATTCAAAGGTAGATATAAATAATTAGAAAAACCCGAAACGTGACATATTTATTCAACAGACAGTTCAATGAAACATACAAGATCATACAAGTAATGCTCTGAATACTTGACTTATATTAGAGGAAACAGTAGTGTACGTCATAAATCATGGTTTGAATTGATAAAGGTTAAAAACAAAACGAAGGGAATCGCATGAAATCAAAAAAGTAATGTTGACTTTAAACATTATTCATCATAACTGTGTTGGATCAGTTATTGTATCAGCAGATAAAGTTAAATTTAGGAATTAAACAGTTATGTGTGTTTGAGATCTTGACTTCACAGAAGCGTCTACACATGAAGAATATATCTAAATTGATACAATATTTCAGGCTTTTGATTAACTATTATGGTGTTAATAGAGACGTGCTTACCTTTAAAACTTTCAGAGTTTTTACACACATTGTGCGATCCATCGTCCTTGCTTGGTTCCATATTACCTACTTTTGTTACTTTAAATTTGTTTAGATTGCGTAAGTGGCTAGTTGACAGTCAAATCACGTATGGTGGTCATATTGTCAAGTTCATATAGCTTTGTTGGTCAAAGATAAAATATATAGTTCTTACGCAAATTTTTTCAGTGTTATAATATAATGATCCTGAAGTAAAGCATTGGACTGAGTAGATGTACTTCAGAAACACTCCAAAAGAAAAGTGAAGACAACTATTACATCAAAGGAAAAAAACTTTCATTCGTGTTCTCCAACATTTATACATTATACAATGTATAACATTGTTATATTTTTTTTCTAGTTTGTGATTATAACCACATGTATTTTTTAATAACTTCTGGTGCTTGTAATAATTTTTACATAAAGAAACATACTTGACAAGTGTGTTAAATTCTGAATTTAAGACATATTTCAGTTGTGAATATATTAAGTTGCCAAAAATAGAAATTTCCGTGTGTTTTGTATTTTTCTTTTTTTAGATTTATATATATATTTATTTATTTATTTATTATTTTCTCACTTTTCAATGATAGACAAGTAAAACATATGTAGTGTCGATTTTAGTCGTTCTTCCTCCCATTTCTGTTGGAGCAGTTTATGTATAAGGAGGAAACCCATGTGACTTAAGTCTGAGTAGTGTAAACATGCACAGGCGTAACGTAAAATACGATATGTAAACGTCAAAAGATGGAAATACTGACAAAATGTTGATTGATTAAACATTTTACAAATTTGTCTTATAAAGGGAGTTAACTGTGATAGTTCAGTTTTATAAAATAATGTACAAACAAAATTTCCGTTTTCTTTTGTCTCAAGAAATCAAGCTAGCTGATGCTATCTTCTTTTTTTCGAAAGGATTCAAATGCCATCTTTTAATGTTTATTTCAACATTCTATCATTTACGTTTCTCCCTGCCTGATCGCATAATAATGCATTTTCCATACCAAATCCTTCAAGATTTGTCAATATATAATTTCACATTCAATAGCTAGAAAGAAAGTGTGATGACCTGTCCTTTTCATCATGTTTTAAGATAACAATTTATAACTACACTTTTTGCTCAGTATGGCGAAATATTGTTGGGTTTTTTTAATTTATTTTTTTTCTTTGTTGCTAAAACCTTAGTTCTACCATAAGTTTTAATGAATGCATAAACAATTTATTTTTCAAATACAACATATACAATAACATAGTATGAAAAGAATACAATGACATAAAATATTAAGAAGTTCTCTCTTTGACATATTGATATCACTAAATCTATAATTTGATTTTTTCGCGAAGAAATAATGTATAAAAAGGTAAAAAGAATGTCCCCTGAATTTATTTCACCCTATGACTATCATACTAAACAATCTTGATATCTTTTTTTAAAATTGTCATTTTGCAGCTTCAAGGGTGTACAAAAAGTTAATAATTCCATCATGTTGTATTTCCAAACATGTGACTTAATGTTTATAGATAAATGAAATTTTGAATCCTTTATTTATTTGGAAAAAGGAAAAAAGACAAACAATTTTGATCAAAATTAATAACGTCCTTTTGAAACAATTCAATTGAAGCTCGTTGTGAATTTCCTTTAAAACAATATAAATCAATAGCTTAAAGAATGATGAGTATAAAGCGCCTAATGCGCCCTATCATTTTCAAAAATTACAATTGTAGAGGTATCAATAAAATATCGATATAGTTTGTACATATTATAAAACTGTATTTCTTATATAATAGCAGTTAAGATTCCTTAATACACATGTTTGAGCATCTTTAAAACTAAAATCATACTTTTTCTTTCAACTTCGGCCATAAACTATTGAAAGACTAAACAATAATAAAAAGCCATAATGAAAATTGACAAGATGTTTTGTTTTCAGTTTCTTCCAATACACTAACAACATGTCAATTTGAATGTACATGTATATTCTTTACTGAATCAGATTCATTGACTCATAAACACAGTACAACCTATAATAATACTAATAAAATTCTTTATTTAACGCAGGTAATGTATTTAACAATGACATGTTAATCTTCCCTGAGGCTTTCAAAAACTATTAATACAAATAGAAAGGAAAAAAAATACAAACAAATAAAATGCATAATACAGTTATATAAAGCAGCTTAAATATTGAATAAGCACATTTGCATTCAATAGAAGAAGTAAAAATAATTAGATTCAGGTATCTTCATTCTGTACAGTTAAAAATGTTAATTAATGTAAACATAAAAAGATATAAAAAAGTTCAAACAGATTCAAGTATAATTTGCTTAATGAATCACATCATTCTTGTCAGACGGTAATCTACTCTTTATAAGCTGGCGGAGAGGTGTCAAAAACTTGTTGTTCTGACGAACTTACAGTGCTAGTTTGATGTCTGCCACTAGTTGAGATCTGTTCCAAAGATAGTTCGTTTTTGTTTACTATTTGGCACTGTTGTGCACTCGGATATTGAACTATTGTTTGTCCAGTAGTTATCTGAATTGGACTATCCATTGGAACCTGGGTCTGTGGCGCATTCGTGATCATTCCAGGCTGTGTTCCATTCACAAACACAACTGCTTGCTGTTAAATATATACATACATTAGGTCTTTAGTTGATTGCATGAAGACACTTTACTACCAGAAATGAGCATAAAACATGAACTTTGAAATATTTGATCTTTAATGTTACTGATTGTGCCTATTTCTGATTGTGAAAATTTAAGTAAATGGAAATCTCATGACAAGAGAGGCGGGCATAGTAGAAGATGCTTATCCTGTAGACCTGGTCTATCTCCTTTTGAGACTCCCCCCCCCCCGGTTTTTGTTTGGTACCCTGATTAATTTTTTTATATCTCAATACGCTATATCTACCTAACCTGTAAAGAAATATATATTGAACCCAGGACAGGTCGTACTACACCACTGGCATTATGTCGCTCTCATGTGCCGATGGTCAGTAGCGTGTGTCTGTGTAGGGTTTAGGTTAGATGCATTCTGTGTAAAGTTTGGATTTCGTTTTCTATTGGATAGTCCTGTAAATTATTGGTGGTTTTTGCCTGTATTGTATTGTTGATTTATATATGCATATCTTGTTTTTCGAAACATGTCTTATATGTATGATTATATATGAGCTTTTATAAAAGACAGTTATTGTAAAACCAAACGAATAAAAACAAAAACAAATATTTAAAGTAAAGGGAAATACGTAATAATATTAAAGAAAATTTAATATAAAGATAATTAATACACAAAAGAACATTGAATAATTGTTTTTGCATGATTAATCTTTATTTGGATGAATGGGTATTAATGATAATGTTTGTCAATATTGAAAAAGTGACATCTATAATGCCTCTCCTTGTTAAAATAAACATAGAACAAGGCATGAAATGATTTTTCGGCTCTGTAATATAATATAAATTTATAACTTTTTTTTTTCATTTAAACTGACCTATAGTACAAGTTCAAAAGGGATCCATTGATTTGATGAAAGAAAGGCGCACTTAAAAAAAAACAAGTGTTCACGATTTAAGAAACAATTCTTTCATGGCAGGCTCTTAGCTCATTTTAACATGTTTTGCATTATATTTGTCAATATCTTTATACCGAGCTAGCGTGAGCGTTGACAAATGTAATGCCTACCCATGTTCAAACGAGCAAAGAGAACATGGCATGAAAGAATTATTTCGATTCTTATATAGAAACATTTAGAACTTTTGTTCTTCGAAGCGTACATATAGTACACGTTCGAAAGGCAACCATTGTGATTTGATGAAAGCAAAACGATATATAAAAATCAACCGTTTCACGATAACCAAAAATGTATACATGAACACTCACTTTTAAAATTATTTTATTTAATTTCCCAGCGAGCAACACCAACACAAATGTCAATAGTAACGTCAATCACGTGCAGCCTATGTTCTATGCAATTAGAACATGGCTTTGTTTTCAATTATCAAAGCCAAAAAGAACATCCTGTTAGAATTAAAGTCTACAAATATATATAGGCTTTATGGTTCACTTTTATAAATTGTAACTTGGATGGAGAGTTGTCTCATTGGCACTCATACCACATCTTCCTATATCTATTTAATATATATATATAGGCTTTATAGCCGACTATACGGTATGGGTTTATCTCATTTTTAAAGGCCGTGCGATTAACTATTAAGTGGTTACATCCACTTTATTTTGAACTTTAGTGGATAGTTAACTCATTGGCAATCATGCCACATCTCCTTTTTTTTTTTTTTGATAATCTGCCAATACAACAAATTCTTTTTTAAAACGACATATATAAATCCATACCCCTTCACTTGGTATTTCCCAGGGTGAACAGCAGCAACAAAATGAAGCAGCAACGGTCGCCACTATAGCTTCAACTAATGCTATTAATACAATGAATGCTGATAGAATAGGGTTGGCTCCATAGAACAATCTCTGAAACAAAACAATGGCATGACGAAACAAACAGTAAAAATACAGATTTAGAATAAGCAACGCTTACTGTGAACACATAAATCGTTAATAATATCTCTTGCATATATTATTGAATGTCAACAAACAAAAGTAAATTCAACATGCATTCCTTTTTAATTGATCTCGAAAATTTTACAAAATAGATATAAGATGTGATATGAGTGCCAATGAGACAACTCTCCATCCAAGTCACAATATGTAAAAAGTAAACAATTTTAGTTGTTTGTCGTTTTTTTCTTGGTCATTGTGTTATCTGTTGTAATTGTTATGATTTTTTATTGCACTTTATTTCTTTTCTCTCTTTATTTTTAACCATACCCCCCTTTTCATACATCATTTCAGTTGTAAAGTTTTTTGTTTTTTTGAATATGAACACATTCTCATTTCTTAACATGAATCAAAATAATTTAATACTTGAAAAATATTGAATAAAATACATGTTCTTACAAATAGTACTCCGTTTATTCCTAGAATGATACTCGTCGTACTAAAAATTGATGCGCCAATAATACTGCACACCATAAACCCAATTTTCTAAAAAAAAAACAAAAAAAAAAAAAAAACATACTATATAAAGAGTATAAAAGATGTGTTTATGTCAAATTTTAAGTTTATTCCTTCTCATTATCCTTAATAACGCTCCTGGTGCGGGATTTTCTCATTGCGTTGAAGACCCATTGGTGGCCTTCTGTTGTTATCTGCTCTTTTGTCGGGTTTTTGTCTCTTTGACATATTCCCATTTCCATTCTCAATTTTATTATTAACTTTTTCTTCACAAAACATCAGGAATACAATATGGAAATGGCGAATGTGTCAAGAAGACAACAACACGACCAAAGAGCAAAAACAGTCCAAGGCAACAAACTCCGAAACATACAAATGAACCAAAATTAAGTGGAAAAAGAACATCTCGTTTCATCACTCACCAAACTTCTCCAACTTGATTGTCTTTTTCTTGACATACACATTGGCAGGAAACCAGTCAGAACAAACTGAAAGTTTAGAGTATGTCATAATTAGAGGTTCATTGTACAAACACCTTTAACAAAACAACTTAATTGTGCGTCCAACCATTCAAAATGCCCCGATCACTGCTACAATTTACTGTATTATAGTTTATTCATTGCCAAACCCACTATCCCGATTTGAATAGGTTTTGTGTTGCTCTTTTTCCGGGTAGTCTTCGTTAGATCGTTATATGTATTTTCGTCTTTTTTTTTCGGCCTGTCTCTCTTTAACTATTGATGCCATTCATGGTTGGTTTTTTTTCTTCTATTTTTTAAGGTTTATACAGAGAACTACCGAAAGTGTCATTTATTGGGAATAACATGCCGTAAAAAAATAGCATACTGATTGTGTTGCAGTTTATACATAGAGTCGATTAACTTGAAAAAGGGATGATATTTACTTTTACTATTGTTAATTTTTCCTTTTTGGAAGGTGGTGTTCCTTTGGTACCGTATAACGGTGTTTATATATCCCAACTTGTTCGCTTTGCCCGAGTCTGTAGCAACGTTTTGGATTTCAATGAGCGTAATCTATGTATTACTTGTAAATTAGTAAGTCAGGGATTTCGTTACCATAAACTACTTAAAACCTTTAAATAATTCTTCCATTGATACCAAGATTTGGTTTGCAACTTTTGCTGTACCTGTAACAAACTTATTTCTAGCGGAATAAAACATCATAAATTTTACAGTGATGTTTATAAGATTTAGATACGATCCGGGTAAACTTTTTAATAATCTAAATAAACTTATTATTCTAAAGTTATTTAATCTTTGAACATTTGTTTTGGGGTATAGATATTGATTTTGTTAACATTAGATTAAAACCGTACTAAAAATCATTATTATTCATACATATGCACGTGACTACAATCTGTCGATACCTATAATTTGGTATTGTACAATGTCATGTTTTTCTCTGACTGTTAATTACGTATTTCCCTAATCCATTGGATGTTGGATGTGTACTGATTCATATTTTAGTCTTAGATACATGTTTTTTAGTTGTTATTGCCTTAGTTCTAGCTGTCAGTAACTACGAGTACTTTCAGATCTGTACTAAGTGTCTTTTTTTTTTGTTTTTTTTGGTAGGGATGAGGGATGTATAAATACCTGGCACGTCCGGTCTGTGTATTTGTTTGATGTTTTTCTGCTTTATATCGATCTGATGACTTTAGCCTTTTTCAACTGATTGTTATAGTTTGTTCTCGTGTTTTGAGGTTATACCACTGTCCCAGGTTAGGGGAGGGTTAAATGTTCTCAAACATGTAACCTCGCCACATTCTCTATGCGCCTGACTCATGTAAGGGGCCTGTAGTTAAATGATTGTCATTGGTTCATGTCAGTCATATTTATTTTTCGTAAATTGTTTTGTTAAATATTAGGCCGTTAGTTTTCGCAATCGAATTGTTTTATATTTTTCATGTCAGGGTCTTGTATAGCCGAAAAAAATAATAAAATATAGTATTTCAAAGTTACTGAAAACAAATCCATACTTCTTTACTGGCTGGGTTTTTTTTTAGGGAAACTTTTCTACAGCAATGTTATAAACCGAATTATCAAACACGTTTCTATTTTCTGTACAATGCGCAAACATGTACAGAAATTCAATTTATAAAAAAGTAATATTTCAGTTTTTTTTTCTCAAACTGCTAAAATTGAAAATTGATGGCAATTCATTGAAATACTAACAGTAAAATAATCGCCTTTGTCAACACGACTTTTCTTTCAAATGGGAAAGGTCATTTTTTAACTTGTTAACTTTGTAAGTAACATTACCGTAAAAATCTAGTTGTTAAACCCACATGTTATTGAATTCCTACTGGTGGAATAGTACGTTCTAGTTAAAGCCCGATATTTCTTATCAAATTTGTTGAAGGTTTGGAACAAATTCTATCATCTATATCCATTTTGACACTCAAAACGGATTGACCTTAGCATAACATATGGTCAACTATAGATGTCTTCTGTCAAGCAGTAAAATAACCATTGCTACAGTGGGGTGGATGTTTAATCGTACTTGATGAATAGATACGCAAGTATGTCCGGGATAATATGGGAACTTCAAATCTTATGCTCTTTGTAGAGAGTGTGCCATTCTTTCTGCAAGTTAAAGAATTCTAACAACAGGCAAAATGTCTGCCCCTCATCACTTTACCATCACTTCTTAGTTCCTTAATAATGGTCGATCTATTTGCTAACCATACTTTTTGGTATTTGTTTATGTGTTCAATGACCAAATATGCATCCAATATTTGCCGTTAGAGATTAAGCATGCAATAATCAATCAATACATTGTTAAACAGTGCCATGTTATGTTGTCATTTTAGCGGTATGTTTGACATTGCCATAAAGCGCGAGGTTTGGCTAGCCACAAAACCAGGTTCAATCCACAATTTTTTCTTAAAATGTCCTGTAACAAGTCAGGAATATGGCAGTTGTTATCTAATAGTTCGTTTTTATGTATGTCGCATTGTCATTTGTTGCTGTTGCACTTCAGTGTTTCTGTTGTTTCGTTGTTTTCCTCTTATAATTGATGTGTTTCCCTCGGTTTTAGTTTGTAACCCGGATTTGTTTTCACTCAATCGGTTTATGACTTATGAACAGCGGTATAATTATGTTGCCTTTATTTAAGCTTCTATTGAATTGAGTTACTATGTTATCAAAAATTGAAATTAATACCTATATTAGCCTATAAACTATATATATATATATATACACTTACCCATCCACAACATATTAAACACACTATGTCAAATGAGAATAACTCCTCACTTTTATAGTACCTCCGCCAGCTCCAGTACATAATACTATCATTAATTAACTGTTCATTATGCAGGAGACAGTCATGGAAATTTTGAATGCCCATGGCATCAGTGATGACCGCTATCAGGCATATGATCCCTAATATTACGCCTAACCCAATCTGTATACCTCCAAACACCTTGAATGTCCTCACTGGGTATGTAGGGTTTCTTTGAGATGGTTGGTCTGGTGCCTCTTGTGTGATCAATGGATCTGCTGTATTTGTCTTGTTTATAGACATGCTGCAATATAAAGCAACGAATTATCTTATTTTGAATTGCTTTAAATAACCTTAACTGTTACTTCTGCGTACAAGCTGTAGATGTGTTAAGTATACGCATGAGTCGTTTTATCAAAATGGTTAAATCGACTCAAAATAATAGGTAGTTTGATATAGTAATAAATAGTCCATGTACTTTTTAAATAATAAGTATTTTGAAATAGTAATAAATAGTCCATGTACATTTTTTTTTAGGTAAATGGTTGAATAGGCTCAAAATAATAAGTATTTTGAAATAGTATCAAATTGTCCATGTACATTTTTTTTAAATATAAGTGCAATATATTGTTCTCGCAAGCTCGTGCAATATGACAAACTGCTGAATAAATATACCGATATATTCATACAAAAACCCTCTATTATTCTCAAATTTTGAATAGCTAAAATTTTTCACCATTACTTAGAACAAAATGTCCTGTTTGTTGTGATGATTATAACACATTTGTGTACTTTAATATAGAAACACACAAGCGACATAATTATCTTCATTATTCGTAAGAAATGAATTGTGATAATTGACGTATATACGTAAGGGAATGAAGGTCAGGGTGGACATGATGGTAGATTGAAAAGGAAAAATTTGTTAAATGTTTGTCATTTAGCACAAGGGTGTGGACGGGGTTGATTTTGTTATCAGTAAATTAAAAGTAAACTAAATATTATTGTTATATACATAAACACATTCATGGATCTACAATCTGTCGATACCTGTATCAAGGCATTGCACAAGGTCATGTTTTTCTCTGACTGTTTATGACGTCTTTACACTAAATCCATTGGATTTTGGATGTGTACTGATTGATAATTTAATCTTAGATGCATGATTTTTTATATGTTGTTAGTGGCTTTGAACTAGCTGTCGGTAACTGCGAGTACTCTCAGATCTGTACTTAGTGTCTTTTTGTTGTTGGGATATACAAGTACCCGGCCACGTCCTCTCTGTGTTTTTGTTATATGTATTTCTATTTGTATCCATCTGATGAGTTAAGCCTTTTTCAACTGATTTTTATAGTTCGTTCTTATGTTGTACTGTTACACCACTGTCCCAGGTTAGGGGAGGGTTGGGATCCCGCTAACATGTTTAACCCCGCCACATTCTGTATGTATGTGCCTGTTCCAAGTCAGGAGCCTGTAATTCAGTGGTTGTCGTTTGTTGATGTGTTACATATTTGTTTTTTGTTAATTTTTTTGTACATAAATTAGGTCGTTAGTTTTCTCGTTTGAATTGTTTTACATTTGTCATTTTGGGGCCTTTTATAGTTGACTATGCGGTATGGGCTTTGCTCATTGTTGAAGGCCGTACTGAGACCTGTAGTTGTTAATTTCTGTGTCATTTGGTCTCTTGTGGAGAGTTGTCTCATTGGCAATCATACCACATCTTCTTTTTTATATTGACTCTTTGAATATAATTGTCACACCGACGTGCCGTTAGTATGTGTCACTTTTTTGGAATGTCAAATATATCAATGGGGTGCAATTTCGTGGAGTTATCTATATTATGATGCCTGTAAACACCTTGCATTGATCGTTTTATATAATATTTATTCAACCCAATCCGTACTTCCGTACAAAAATTTGTCTTCTGAGAAACCCAATCCCTCCCCTGTGACCAGTGGCTTCGGAAAGACAGACGCCAAGGGACGTCAAATACAGCTCTTCTGATTTATGTTTAATTTAGATACCTTTTAGATCATACATTCATATATAATTATTGTTTCTGACATAAATATGTTTTTTTTTGTTTTAAATTCACAATACACTTAAAATGTATAGCATTGACGTGATTGAAGGGAAAAAATAAAGAAGAATCTCCACGGACACAACTCTACAGTATAGTTTAACATTTATTAGTAACAAAATACTTCCAATTTATGTAACAAAATACAACATTTTATTGAATCATTAAATTATAAACATAGCAGTACATATATAGTACTTTCATTGTTCATCTTATTTATTTGTGTATTTTCATAGTGTTATGTTCGTATTCAAGGATGCACAACATAAAGCTTGATTGAAAAATACAATTACTGATTTACAGTAAAATCAAATATTTAACATGTTTGGAATTCATACTTGTAATGTACACAGGAAAGTTGATGGTTGAGAATTATAAAACATAATAAAAAATAATTTTGCATACCGGATTATTTACGAGGGTCTAGATGTGGTTTACAGAATGGAAAATAATGGGTAAAACAATAAAGAATAATTGAATGAATAATGGGCCGCTGAAAACATAGACTTATAAAGAATAATAGACAGAATCAATATAAAAAAAACAAAGAAAAATGACCCTAATGTTAAAAAAATTAATACCCTCTCGATCCTCACCCCTCCAGAGCATCAGTTATACTAAAACCTTAATTGAATTTTGGTAATCTTAGATGTATATGTATATCATATCTATCACTAATTACTTTCCTTATAAGTAACAATATATATTATCACAGTGGTAACAATAGTTCAATGCATTTTACTATTGAAACTGATACTGGGAATACATATTTCTTTACTGAAACAAATTATATATAAATTTACTAACCTTGAAGTGTGACGTTTATAGATTCAGCGGAGAACAGGTCAAGGATGAATCATCTGATGTTTACAACTATATTAATTGACTTACAGTACACAATCTTGTACGTTCTTCTAGTAAATTTGCTGATTCTGTTCATGTTATTAAGTATATTTAGTAGTATATTTTATAACATGGTTTAAAAAAGCATCACACCACCAACCACAATTTCATTTCACCTAAACAGTATATATTGTTTTCATAAATAATTATATTTGTGTATGTATATATATATAATATCTCGTTTCTAAACTATGCAGTGTGGATTTCGCAGTTGGCTTTGATATTATTCCTTTCCTATCTGAAATCGATTTTGTCCTAGTTTTAAAATACCTCAATATATATTTTTTTATTATATTAACAAATTAAAAGAAAGAAATTAGACGAAATGGTAACATTTATGTAAAGAAACATTTTTACGGAGGAAAAAAAAATTTGTTCATCCAAAAGACGGTGACAAACTAACACTAGTCAACTGATAATTTAAACTGATAATTTACAAGAAAAGTGTTTAAGTCTTACAAAGTAGGAACTGTCCTGTTAATTATCTTTCATGTTCAATTAATTTCTAATGAATTGACTGTAGCGCATTGTGAGCTACATGTACGGGTAACTATTTGAATTAATGGATATACGAAGAAAAGAAATGGTTAAGATGTATGATTGCGTTATAATTACATGAATTAAAATGCATCGATATAAAAGGTATGTTCTGATGCGATACTGGTCAAGTAGCAAGTTTTAATGGTCTGATTTAACGTACCGGAATAGTATGTTTCCGTGAGATTAGAATGTTCTGAACGTAAGCGTCAGCTAGGTCATCTTTCAACACCTTTTAGTGGGGTACATTTTGATAAAAGAAAATATCTAAAAAGTAAATACGTGCAATGTTTTAAGCATCATTGCCAAATCCACATATTATTATCTTTCTTTTTATTTTGTCTGAAAGATATATCTCGTTGAAAATCATAGCATACCAAAATTGGTTCGAATATATTTACGGATATATTTTACTTCAAAAAATACTTTGGAAACAATTCATAGTCTGAATTTGAGAATACAAAATCTGTGTTACATACCGAAAATGCATATGACAGTTAAATGAATTCGAATTTCATATGAAAACTTGCAGCAGGTTTACAATGATAGACGATGAAAAAAGGGAAGCTGCAGTCAAGACATTTCATTAAATTAAATAACCGTGAATTACAAAATAAAGGATCGACATAAGTTATTTATCAATGTTTAGAAATAAGTTATTTGCTAATTTCCGATTCCATACTATCGATCTATATTTAAATATGCTGAAGTTATCAGATTAAGTCATATACCGTTAGGTGTTAAGGGTGTATGAATATGCAGCAACGTTCTAAATTATGGTTTTCTCTCTGGACGCATAATGCCTTTCAAATTTTCAAATAGTTGTTCATATGTTCCCTTTAGATCATGAACGATCTGTTGGTCTAGTGTTCCAAGTAGATTGTGAGCATTATTTGTTTCGTTTATGTGTTCCTTTTGGTGTTCCTTCAGGATTGTGGACTATAATTTGTTTTGTTGATGTGTTCCCTCAGGATAGTGAACTATAATTTTTGTTGGTGTGTTCCGTTTTTAGGATTGTGAACTATGATTTGTTTCGTCTGTGTGTTCCCTCGAGATTGCGAACAATACGGGTACAGATAGTTACTGCCCTACGGTAATTTAAAATATTGGAAGCGATTGGTTAAAACATACACTTAAATACATACAAACCATTATAAATACGATCAATTTGATCTGATGTAACTTACGTTATGATCTTGTTTCTCAAAGAAATACAAAAATATTTATTATACATTCTTTTTTATTTTTTTATAACAATTTACTGCTCACAAAATGCATTCGTGGTCGATATGTTAAAGGTCAAAATGAAAAGGTTATGTTTATGTTGGCGGATTGGGAGGTGGTGGCGGTGGTGGTGGTGGAGTTGGTCCTACTGGTACAGCTGATGTATTACTGGAAGCCTCTTTCGCAAAACTGCCTAGATTTATGACACAACCTTCAACTACAGGAGGTCGGATTCCTCGAGAGTTGTCTGCAATGCGAAAGTATTGTATTTGTATAAGGCTTAACAATCACTGTACATAATATATGTGTGTCTAGTCAACACACCTGGTGCTCTGAATGAAAACACTAATTCTTTTTTATGTTTCTACCTCATTAGTATTTTTTTTCTTTTCAGTGAGTGAAGATGTTGTTTCAGTTAACAAAATGTTATATAAACTTAAATGAGATGGATATTCAAATATACCAATTAAAAACCAAAGTAATTCAAAGCACGCTTACGGTCTTCAGCAATAGACAAAAGAGTGGGTTTTTTTATATTATTATTTGTTTTTGTTTGCAAAAGACTGGGTTTTCAGACACATTTGACGTCAAAGTGACATTCATTTGCATTTGTCTTGTACGTTCACCCACGGAGTGAAGGCAGGTAAAAAATACATATCAACAGGTTATTAATTTGAGTTAGCTGCTGATCTATTTTGGTATTCGTACATACTAGAATTCAAGATCTTTGGATTTGAACGTTCCTGGTGATAGTAAATCCAGAAACGAGCTTCCGATATAAAACAAAATTTAAAGTTTTGTTCTTGTTTCTGTTACTCCGAACATTCTCTGATAGTGTATTGTTAATTATTGTTTTACTTGTAGTCGTGTATTTGTGGAGTAAAGTATCATCAGTGGTTGTCATTGGTCATAATATCTTAATTATGTTTTTTTTTATCATTTTGAAATATAACACAAATGTATGGTGTTTTCTTGACAATTTTTATTTATTCTATTTTTAACTTTTTAGAATCAAACAGTTCTACATCTTGGTATATAGTATAACTCATTTCTACTGTTGATGACTGTATGCAAATTGCTCTCTATGTTTCTTTTTTATCAATTTTGTGTAGTTGGTTTGGTAACTCACAGACTTACACCAAATTGTGTATGCATTTTGTTTTCATATCAATAATAACACTCTAAAATACTATAAAGTTAAATAATGCAAGTTGGTGCTTATGTGATACATAGTTTTGAATATTTTTCTAATATAATAAGACATATTTCTTATCATTTTGCTTATCTTGATATAGTTATATTCAATATCCTATTAATATTCGTTTATTTAAAATGTTTTAAATTCATCGATTCTTATACTTATAAAATAAATTAAGGTGGATCATCGATATATATTTCCTCTGATAGAATTTCCTTATACTTTGTCATACGATTTTACTATGCTTTTTTTCAAAAATATAATAAAACGTATGGGTCACAATCTACAAGTCGTGTCAAATTGCCCAAATTTCCATAGATTGTTCATGAGAAAACATTTTTTTGTGAATAAAAAGAAATCTATGAGATAGAATTTTGAAGTAAAATATGAGAAGATATGTTTTATAATATGCTTTAAGAAAATGAAAAGAAAATTGATGTCATTTGTTTTCTTGCTACAAGTAAAAATTGGAAATTTCACTATCAATCCAGTATAAAAAATTTACAGTAAGAGTTATCTCTCGTTAAATGGCCAAGTTGAAAATTTGATCCTAAAAAAACAAATATTGATATTTGTTTAAACATTTTAGATATTGCAATCAATCACTTATTTTTCTTAATACAAATAAACAGTTTTTCGCATAAATTGCATAACTATCTCTAAAGGAGTAGGCCCGGTAAGACCCCTTTTTGGCCCCAAAATATATCATTTTTACAAAGTTGTTAAATTGTTAACTTTTACTTATTAATTGGAAAGAAACATGCTTTTGTTACATAAATATGGGCTGTTTTTGATAATACAATGGACATGCATCTGGTACTAGCATCATTATTGCATGCAAAAATATTGATATCTTCACAATTTAAACATTTGTGCTAATTTTCAGACGGTTTTGTCTTAAATGGATGTGGCCGCACTTGTGTTCATTCTTTATATTTAAATATATGTTGTATTAAATGATAGTACATAATATATATAAATGTTGAGAGTGAGCACGAATGCGGCCATTTCCATTTTAGAAAAAAATCATCTGAAAAGTCACGTTAAATGGCATATTTGATCGATTTTTCATATTAAAGCTTGGATTTGAGCGTTTTTAATGACCAAGTCAGTCAAAATCTTTTACAATAACCAATTGAATCGAATGAAGAAGATACTAAAGTGTTTATAAAATGTCAAAAATCTTTCGTCAGATGTACTTCGAATTTTAGGCCGAAATTAGCCCTTACCGGACCTTTTTCTTTGCAGATTTAGGCAATAAACTAAACCAAATGTGTACTGCTATTGTACAATCCAAGATAGTATACAGTGAATCTACCTGAATTCGTGTATGCCAAATTTAAAACACGTCAAGGAGACAGCAACCAAACAGCACACATAAACGAGAGATATTTACAGGTTGTCGGTCATATGTCATGCCGATTTAGACGTTTCACCGATATATAGTTATATATTTATAATAATATTACAGCAACATGACAGGTGACTGATGTGGAGCATGATCTGCGTACCTTACCGAAGCACCAGAGATCCCTCCTCCAGATTCTGATGGGGTTCGTGTTGCTCAGTATGTTTTTAAATGTTGTGTTTTATATACTATTGTTAGTCTTTTGATCTTATTGTATTTTGTCATGGCATTGTCAGTTTGATTTTTCCTTTGGTATTTTTCTCTATTCTCCTTATCAAACAATGTCCAAAAAGACATATATCTATTCAATATCCAAAGCAACTTTGCCTTATTTTTTGTGTATTCATCTATTATAAGAGTGTTGCGTTTTACTTACCGAAATTCCTACTTTCAATGTCATAGTACTCTGTTGGATCTTCAGTTGAGCCATAAAAACTACCTGAAATTTAACCTAGATGTAATATGATGAGAAATGCAATTACTGACGTTGTTTTCGATTTATGAAATATCTTCACTAATTGTTTTGCATTGTTAGTTCATACAAATTAGACCAAGTTTGACTGTAAAGTTTGTTAACAAACAGTAACATAGAT